GCGCGCCTCGCCCTCCAGCAGCTTCCGGTAGGTGGCGATCTCGATGTCCAGGGCCATCTTGACGTTGAGGAGCTCCTGGTACTCGCGCAGGTGCCGCGCCATCTCCTCCTTCAGCTGCCTCAGCTCCTCCTCCAGCCGCGCGGCGCCCGCCTGGTAGCCGCCCGCCTCCAGGGCGAACTGCTCCTCCAGCTCCCGCAGCTGTCTGAGCAGCGCCTCGTTCTGGGGGTGCGAGGCGGAGGAGCGCGATTGAGGGGTCAGCAGGAGCCCGCGTCGTCCGCTCCCGGGCCCAGGCGCGCAGCTCGGTACTCACGGTGCCGCGCAGCCCGTCCACCTCGCATGTCAGACTCTGGATCTGGCGACGGGACTCGTTCATCTCCTGTTTGGCCTGGCGCAAGGCCTCGTGGTTCCGGTTGGCGGCGTCGGACAGGTCCGCGTACTGCCAATTTGGGGGGTAACCCGGGATGGAGCGGGCTGGGACCGAGGAGGTTACCTTCCTCCTCGGTCCCGAGCCCTCCCCACTCCCGGGCCCTCCCAGGCTCGGACCTTGGACTTATACCACTCCTCTGCCTCCTGCAGGTTCTTCGCTGCGATGCTCTCGTACTGCGCGCGAATGTCCCTCAGCGCTGCGGTCAGCTCAGGCTTCACCGTCGCCTCCACTTCCACCTGCTGTACCTGCTGGCTCTCCACGCTCACCTGCAGGTCTCGCAGCTCCTAGGCCCAGGGCGGGCAGAGGAACCGACGGCGCAATCCCCCGGGCGGCGCAAGGAGCGCACAGAAAAGAGAAGAAGAAACCCTTGGATGAACAGAAGGGGGCGCCAAGGAGTGCAGCGCGCACAGGACTGCGACCCGGGGCCCAGCGGGCGACAAGCCACGTGCCAGGTTACGAGGGTCCAGTTCCGCTGCCCGCCACCAGGTGGCGCAGGGGTGGGAGCCCAACCACCTGTAGAGGGGCTTGAGGGGCGGTGTCCTCCCAGCAACTGTCACTTCTCCCCAGTCGCCAGTCTCCTCAGAACTTCGTCTCTGCAGCTCCAGCAGGCCGCCCCCAAACTCTAAAAGGCCCCCCACCCAGACATCTGGGCCCACCCACCTCCTCGTGCAGCTTCTTGAGGAATTCAATCTCATCCATCAGGGACTCAATCTTGCGCTCTAGTTCCAGGCGGGACAAAGTGGCGTCGTCCACATCCTTTGGGGTGGCAGTCGGGGTAGGTCAAGAAAAGGTAATGGGAGGTCAAGAAAGGGCGCGAAGGCGGGCCAGGACTTCCCTTCTGCCTTGGGAGGCGCCTGGCTGCCTCCTTGCGCCCAGCGACGCCACCCTGGATACCTCTGGTAGGGCGAAGAGGCGGAACTCGACGGGCGGCGACTCACCTTGCGGAAGAGCACGAGGTTGTGCTCCGCGTCCTCGCGCTTGCGCGTCTCCTCTTCCAACCTACAGGGAGAATAGGCTGAGTGGGGCTGCGGGGTCACCACCAGCTCCACCCCAGACCGCGCCCTTCAGGACTCGGGTTAGAGGCGGCAGCTGCCCAGGACTCCAGGAGAAGGGCTTCAGGCTGGCCGACGGATGGCCTGTGTTGTCTGCGGAACTGGGAGCCGAGAAGGGGTCCCCTAACACACAGGAGGGCCTAGGGTCTCCTCCCCCACCTCCCCAGACACTCAGAGCTAAGTGTTAGACGGACGGGCTTGGCGGGCGGTGGGCGGTGGGCGAGGATGCCGTCTGCACACACAGAGTTAGCCAGGGGAGCCACGCCCTTGGGCTGCTGGTGGGGAGGGGAAGGGAGGAATGAGTAGCCGCCTGGACGGCCGCTGACCAGCG